ACTTTATTGTTTGTGCTGAGAAGTCTGCTGTGGTTCCAATAGGTTTTCCTTTATAAGTGATCTGTCTTTTCTCTCTGACAGCTTTTAATAATCTATTCTTGTGTTGGATTTCTGGGATGGTGATTATTATATGTCTGGGTGTAGTTTTATTTTGGTTGTGACTATTTAGAGTTCTATATGCTTCACTGATCCTGATGTCAGTTTCTGATCTCATGCTTGGGAAATTTTGAGCTATTACTTTTCTGAATATCCTCTTAACATCCCTTAAGTTGTCTTCTTTGTCATTAATCCCTATCATTCTTATGTTATTTTTCTTTGCATCGTCTTGCAGTTGTTGAATTATTTCCTGATTCCTTGTTATTTTTAAAAGATCTTTCCTTTCCTGTTCACTAGCTGCAATCCTGTCTTCAAGGTCTGAAATTGTATCTTCACTTTCATTGAGGCGGTTTTTACAACTTTCAGTGGAGTTATTTATTTCCTGTATATCTCTGTGCACCTGCATTATGTATTCTGTTTGTTTCTTACATTGCTCATCTAGGGATTCTATCTTTTTGTTACTTCCTCCAATTTTTTAACTGTGTTTTCTTTAGATATATTTAGAATCTCATTTCTTTCATCATTTCTTCTTTTACCTGGGAGATTATTTCGAGTTTGAATTCCTTTAAAGCTTCCTGGAGTTGCTTTTTAATTTCAGTAGCTATTATGTCCGATATCTGAGGTGAATGGCACATATTTTCTTCTATATACATTGCTCCTAGGGTTTCTTGAGATGGGCTGGAGGTTTGAGGTTGTAATTTGGTCTTTCATTTTGTCATTTTCCTATATTTCTGTGTTTCAAGTGTTATTTGAAGGCTTCCTCAGGGTCTGTTGGAAATCCCCTTCTATGTTTGCAGCTCCTGAGACTCTGGCACCCATTTCCCCCAAGCCACTGGGCCTGTAGAACTAATGGCCCTCTTCTGCCTGTTTAGAACTCTGCAGTTCCAGATAAGCTAGGCTCCAGGGACACTGTGTGCCCACCTGCTTGCTGGGAAGCTCCACAATTCTCCAAGTGCAGCCAGAATGGGGAGGCGGATGTAGATACCTCAAACCCACTTATCCACTTACTGCACCTGGAAGCCTGGAGGGTGTTGACCAGTCTGGGCTTTGGACAAAGTGCACTGAGCACTTACCGTAGGCCGTGGGGCCTCTGGAACCTGTCATGCTTGCCTGCTTGCTGAGATATCCACAGTCCTCCAGACACACGGGGAGGCGGATGCAGGCACCCCAGATCTGCTCCAGCCCTTCATCTGTACACCGATGGCCGAGTGTGCTTACTTTCAAGAATCCCCATTTTATTTTGGCTCTCAGTCCTGGAGGTTTTGATCCACAGTTAATAGCTTCTAGTGATCTGGCCTGTGGTAAGATAGTACATCCTCATGCAAGCATGTGGCAAGCAAAGCTGCTCCCAAGAAGGCTTCTGGGAAGAAGTGGGGAGACAGGCAAACACCTGCATCCCCAGCACTCTCCTGACGGCATGCCACCAACAGCCTAGCTTCCTTCCACAAGGCCTGCTTCCTAAAGGTTCCATGACTCCCAACAGCCCCTCATGCTGGGACCAAGCTTTCAGCACACAGGCCTTAGGGGAACACTCATAATCCAAAGTACAACACATATAAATTTTGACAAACCCAAGGGCTATAATGAGTGCCATACCAGATCCCTGTGATGAGACTGGATTTCATTCCTATAAACTCGGGATTTCATCTTCAAAGAATTGGGAAGCCAGGAAATACTTTTTAAAGCAAAGTGCTACAATGATCAAATTCCTTTAGTTTAACGCTTATTTCAGGGCTGGGGGAGTAGCTCAGTGGTAAACTGCTGGCCCAGCAGGTATGAGGTCCTGGGTTTAGCACCTAGTATCTCAAAGAAATCATTCTAGCAGATGTGTGGAGGAGAAAAAGTTGGAATGGGGCACATGTGGATCCGGGGAATGAGTTAGGGAGGTACTCCAGGGTTCTAAGTGAGAGGTAGCAGTGGCATCTAGTCCAGAGTTCTAGGTGGTGTCTATAATGATGACCCTGAGTCAATATAAAAAGGCTTACATGTATTTACACATTCTGCTTTGGAGATACAAAAGGTTCTGTAAAGACTCAGATGACGGGGAAAAAGTTATGCTCAGCTATTTGGAAAATACTGTCCAGAACAGCTCAATGTCCAAAGTGATCTATTTCTAAACAAAGTATTTTCAACTAAAGTTCAGAAATCAATCTAATCAAGACCTAGTACTTTCATGCACACATGACACAACAGAAAAGTAATGAATGCACTATCCTACAGGCTTATGTAAACGTTGCTCCCTAAGACTACTAAGGACAGTAGGTTTCAAGTGGGCTAGCTTCTGACATCTCCTAAATGAGTATCTCTCAAACATTTGCTCAGAATCAACACATTCTGCATAAATGACCTTCACACAAACACAGGTCTCATATTTCTGTCACAGCAAATGCAGATTTTGAAGGAATGGAAGCAATATTGTTTTACCTATGGGATATTCGGGTTTTAATCAAGAGGGTTTGCAATGACAGCTTATAATGAGGCAGCTGGTATTACAAAAAAAGCCATATGGAACTATCATTGTGCTTTTGTAAACAGTATCAATTAACTAGTTCATTTTCAAAATTTTCATTTAAATGAATTTGATCACAGAAGCCTCAGGAAAATAAACCTAGGGTTTTATTAGGGAGGGGGACAGGATGGCAGAACTGTGACAATAAAAACAAAATCTATTTTTAAATTAAATTAGAAAAAATAATAAATGGAAAGAGATAGTCACATCTAAAAATCGGTGAGGTATACTGAATACAAACAGCCTTTTTATTTCATTGATTTATGTATGATTTGAGTACTTCTGGATTTAGATATATGTCTTTTCAATAGCTTCACAAATCTAAGGCAAGTTTTAAAAATCAGCAATAGTAGCAATATTCTTGGGTGAATAATCAATAGGTGAGAGACTCCAGGGCAAATTTTAAGAATTAAAAGGAATCATTCCTTAATTTTTAGTGTTTATGTCACAAATTCAAGTCTGATTTTCGGTTTTTAAAAAGAGGTTGGATAATAAGACCTGAATTTTTGAGAGTTCTAAGACCTCTTAATTAAAAGGGCCCACAAATATTTGAAATTATAGATATATAAGAAATTAAAACTCTCAAGATGAGCTAGCAAATTACAAAATGCAGTCTTTGAGGGAATGAGTCAAACCAAACTGGGGTGGAAATGCCAAACGTGTGGAGTGGTTTCTGAAGAAACCAAAGAGATTTCATTATTATTTACTATAGCAATTTTTGATGTTTAATCTTTTAAATTTGTAGAGCTGCATTTTAAAATAAGAATAGCATTTTCACAAGCTAGATGGAGGAGAGGAAGAAGACGACCAGGCTCCAGTCCAGTCTCCCATTGGAAGACCACTGAGGTGGGTGGGCAGTCCCTGGGAGTCCCGACCCCAGTCTCCTGGTACAGAAACAGGAAAAGTGAATCAGATCACCTCCAGGTCATTCATGCTCATCATTCTCTGACTCAAGACGGGGAGATGTACATCCTCTGAGCAGTCACAAGTACAGCAGATTTCACAGAGAGCAGGCAGGGTCGGGCTCAGTAGGTTCAAGTCCAACACTATGGATAAGGGAGCTGATATGCCACACTGGCATGCAGGAAGGGGTCTACGGATGTTGGTATTATTATTATTATTATTTAAATTATTATTGTCAATGTTAAAGAAGATACTTTTCCTATGAACTCTTTCCAAGTAAGAAATTTTATAATTATATAAGCCAAAACAGGAAATTTGCTTTGAGACAACTTAACAGAAAATATGAAGAGTTTTAAAACTTAGCACAGTAGCTGATAAGAAAGTCAATAAAGGTGTTATCAGTTTTGGGAGATCAGGGATCCAGACAAATACTGTAGATTCCATAAAAAGCAGCCATGTGCTCAGAGACAAATGTTTTAAGAGATAATGGCCCCTCAAATTGCACTCTTGGATGTCGGAATTCACACTCAGAGTTGGGCCAGAATCTGGTGTGCAGGTGTATTCTGTTTGCTTGCATGGAGCCTTCATTTGTCCACGTGACTGTTTCTAACGGGACAAAATTCTTCAGGACACCACAGTTCCTACCATCCTGTCTGTCTCCAGCCTCAGCCAGCCTTACCTTTTTGGGTGATTTGCCTGCTCTTCCTAGGTCTCCCTTGGTTTTGCATGTTCTGGACTCTGTGACATGCGGAGTCACTCAGCACTTGCTCTGATTACCCAGCAGGCCTTTGTCTACTACAGAGGCTGGCTAAAAACCAATCACAATGCTCCAAGCAGCCATAAGCAGAAACGTTAGCATTTCTGCATGGAAGAGAGAAAAAGCCTGCCAGAGCTAATCCAGCCAGGGGGTTTGGCAAACTAAGGACAACGGCTCAAGTCTGGCCCACAGACAACCTTTTCACTGATCAACGTGCACTCTTCATGGCTGCTTTTACACTACGATGGCACAGTGGGATACCTGTGACAGAGACCATACAGAGCTTAACACCTAAAATTTTACAATACGGCTCTTTATAGAAAGTTTCCAGACTCTGGGTCTTGCCCCTCCATATAGCGTAGTGGGCATTGCCTGCACCACAGCAAGATCCATTTCATGATGCAGCTTCTCCCAGTTACAATGTTCTTGGTCCCACAGCATCCATGCTTAGTTCTCTGGACCTTTTATAAATTTTGTAAGTTTCCTAACAGCATATAATGTACTCCTGTGTGATAAAAATAGTAGATATTTTTTTTGTCTTTTTATTTTTTATCGGTTCCAGGGATCGAACTCACGACCGCCCGCTTGCAAGGCAGGTGCTTATGCCGCTGTGCTAAATCCCCAGCCCTGAAAATAGCAGATATTTTTAATGTTGCCACTAAAAACCTTGAATGAAACACAGAATAGCACAAACCACAAAGAATTAAGCTATGAAGACAAAAATAATGTACTTACATTATGTATCATCTCAAAGTACTTCTGACAGGCTACCTGGTAATGTGTCCCTTTTACTAAATCCAAAATCTAAAATGAATGAAGAAAAAAGACAAAAAATAGAAATTAAGTTTCTTCTGAACCACTGCAGTTCAGTTGCATAGTCTGCATTCCAGACAGGAAACGCAATAAATCACGCAGCATGCTGTACTTCTGCATCCCGGATACTCATAATTTGACTTTATATAGTAGTTATTTAGGTCAGCATTAAACCACAGATTACAATTGATAGTAGGTGATCTTTGTGACCTATTGTCTATGAATTTTAATGACTTTACCTTGACAAGATGAAAACAGATCCCTGTTTTATGACTTTGACAGTTATTGTCACAATATCAGATTGCAGCATCTCTTCGACAATTTGTAGATATAAACCCAGCAATCTAATTGTTGGTGCATGAAGCAATTGAATATACTATTTAGATTTTTATTTTCCACATTACTTGTTTCTATAGATCCAGCATAAAACACCACTTGTGCCCATCAGGAAAATTTAACATAAACTTTTTGGATGAGTATCTGTGGAGAGGGAATGCTTTCGGCTTTAATCAAATTTGTCCTTTCAACAATAAAGTTATTTGTAGTAAAGTGCAACAGAACATGCGACAAGATAGTCTATTTTGAACACCTATTAGGAACATCATTCTATCTTTTGTAAATACAATTTGCTTTCCTATTCCACTTCATGTAATCTTTTTGGAGTGGTACAACTGCCCATCCTTATCAGCAAACTGCAATGCCAGTTGAAATTTCTAAAGTTTCATTGCCTCCCCTGACTTCCAAATAAATAAAATGCATATTTGGCCTATTTATCAAGCACAATAAAATGAAGGGAAACATAATTCTGGATAAATGCTGATCTTTACCTCTTTTCAAAAGGCTGACCTTCCCATCATAAGTCTCAAATTCCTACCAGCCTTTTTATTGAATATAGCTTTATATCTTTCAACAGAAACCCTAGACAATCACAGTTGCAGAAAGGGCTTCATGCAGTACTCAGAAGAATGTCCTTAAAAGATTCTTTTTCTGTCTTATAGGTTACATTTCTACATGTTACCCTTTAATAAATATTATGTGAAAGAACTATGTAAATGTCAGCTAAGCACAGAACCCAGATCCTGCTTGTCTGTCTATTTCACCTGTTTTTCTTGAATTATTAGGGGGAAAGGCACTTAAGATAAATGATAATTATTTTCTAAATTAATGCTAATATGTGGAGTTCATATACTGATGTTTTTCCATAAAAGACACTCAAATTTTATTGAGATGAACTTGTGAATTATTGCTAACATCAATGAAAACATGCTACTATATACGAAATAGAATTCTGAAGAACCAAAGACTTCAAACACAAATTTAAGATTTAAACGATATCATAAATGGCTCAAAGAGAAGATGAATTCATAGAAACAAAGCAACTACATGGCATACAAGTTCCTTTTATTTAAATACAATGAATCCACCATCTTATTCTATGCATATAAATTTCCTCCTGTTGATAAAATACACATATAAGTATCTTCCTTGCAAAGTAAATACGGAACAATAATATAATATATGTATTTCACAAACAGGCTATTATGAGACATAAAACATCATTAAACAAATATTTAGTAGGGTAATATGCACATATGCTTAAACAGTTATTAAGGAAAACTGATGCATAAGCCACAGAATATGAAAAAGGTAAATTTTTGAAAAGATTAAATTCTTTTAAAAAATTAAATTTACATTAAACACACAATGATCTCTGCCACAGTCCTACCCTACTTCCAGAGCTCACTCTTCCATAGCTTTTGATTTATCTAAGAAGAATTTTAATTTGAAATTTGCTTGGAAATTCATCAATCATTCAACTCTCTCTCCTTAAAATGACTTTAGCAATCAACAATCATGTCACAGCCTATGTGTAGTGAGTGAAAGTTTCTGTACATTTGTGAAGTGTGATGAGAACAAAGTTAGTTGAGTTTTTCCCATTGATGAGAAAATCTTTTCAAACACAGACAATTGTGGCCTAAGGGGAGGAAAAAATGAAAAACAGAGATACAAAAGAGGGAGGGAGGGAGGGAGAACTGTAAGAAAGAGGACTTCGCAGCATTTAGGCATTACTGAAGAAATTATTATCTTCCTTTCAGAGCTGAAGAAATATATATTGTTAAAACAGGGATGTCAGTCTCATGAGGATCAGAGAGAATAAAAACAATTTAAAAATCACATGCAATTTAATATCTTGCTTTTCTTAAGAGGAATAAAAAGAAATACATGCTTTTGAAGTTAAAATAGAAAATATATAATGTGACTCAAACAATTCATCAACTAGTCAGGCACAGTAGCCTACTCCTGTAACTACAACACTTTGAGAGGCTGAGGCAGGAAGCTGATGTCTGAGCCCAGCCTGAACAGTTTAGTGAGACTCTGTTCCCAAACTAACAAAGGGCTGGGGATGGAGCTCAGCGCAAAGACCTGGGGTTCAAACCCCAGGACTAAGAGGACATTTTTAACAATGTAAATGTATACAGATACTGGTATTACAGGGACACAGGAAAAAAAGAGAAGTTCTTGGCCTGAGATGATGCTGGCCTTTTCTGAGTGAAATGGGGAGGCAGGAGAATGCTGGTGCACACTGTGCTGAGAGAGACTGCAGAGCAGGTTGGAAACAGGGCTCCTTCCAGGAAGCCAGGACGAATGAGGGACCCTGGGCCATGGCGGACGGCGGTCAGAGGAGGAGCAGCACCTCCCACCAATGCCCCTTGCCAGCCTGAGAAGTTCCGTAGGAAAGCACTCGACAGGAACCTGTGTATCACCAACGCCTCTCCTTTCCTGAGCAATTCCCAAATGAAATGAACTATTTTCAAAATGCCACTTCCTGAACAACAGATCAGCACTGCCTTTGTGCAGCTCCTTCTAAATGTGGCACCAGGAGCTCCTTCTGGACTCAGCTGCAGACCCAGCTCGTGGACCTCGCAGGTCTCCCAGGGATGCTGATGTTCTAGCACTTGTACACAGAATATAACTTAGGATGCTTTTAAATTCATTTGGTTCAATTTTTCTGAAAAGAACATCACTGGTAAATCCCACATTAAGATATTCTGCAAGAATCTCTATTTTGAGGACAGCACTATAGCTTATTGATCAGCCTGGTGCCAAGGCAGGAAATATAAAGCTAAAAGTAAGAAGGAAAGGAAAATTAAGGTATGAACAAGACACTAAAATCCAATTTGTGATGGAAAAAAAAAAAGTAAAATTAAAAACCTAGTAAACACCAAACACTAAGAAAAACGGATCCCTGACATAGACTGTGAATCTAGGTCAGAATCAAAACGCTCCAAAGGCAAAGAAGTACAAAGAATGCTCCGGTCCAGGAAACACTGACAGAGCTGGTTTCCTAGCACAGATTCTGAGGACCCAGATCCCAGAGGGAGTCTGTTCCCTGGGTTAATCCATTTCTGCTGCTATAACAAAGCACCAGCAGCTACAGACTGTACAATGAGGGTTGTTAGTCCACAGCACATACAATGGGGGCAGTCCCCCATGCCCAGCTTTTGGTGACAATCACATGCAGAGTGAAGAGGCTGCAGGGCAAGTGGAGAAGGGTGACCCCAGACGCCTGAAAGTCCCCAGCCACTGGATCTTTCCCTAACAACTCCCTCCCACGTGAATCCCTCTACGGATGGAGTTGTGTTCATGCTTTGGAACAAACCAGATGGGGAGAGGTGCAAGCAAGCAAGCTGCAGGACCCAACCAGGTAAGAAACATGGGCTGTTAGGGACCCTAGCTAAGTGAGATGGAGGCCCCGCTCACTGTGTGGCTGGTTGCGACGTGTCACCTGTAGTTTGCAAAAGCAGTTCCACCTAGTGAGGATGCTGATGCTGGTTTTCACCTTCTACCCCAAAAGAATCAGAGCACAGGGCCTGGGTAGCTCAGCAGTGTAAGTGCCTGCTTAGCAAGTGCAAGGTCATGAGTTGCATCCTTGGTACCAAGAAAAAAAAAAAAAAAAAAAAAAAACACAGGGCCGAGGGCATAGCTCAGTCACAAGTGCAAGGTCCTGAGTTTGATTTTTGGTACAAAATAATAATAATAATAATAACAACAACAACAACAACAACAAGTAGCATACACTGGATTTTCTTCTGTATCTAGCATAATTCCAGAGAATGTTCTTCAAAGATAAGAGGAAACTGGATTAAGAGCCAGTTCTAATGCTGGTACTAGAAGTTTCCTAACTCTGCTTTCAAAGAGTAAAATCAAACAAACTATACAATCATATCAAATACTTACTGGATAACAGTTATTAAAGAAAAAGTTTCGATGACAGTCTGAGAATACAATATTGGTCAAATGGCAATATAACTTCTAACTTTTATTATTTATACTTTATTTTACCGGGGATCAAACTCACAACTTGTGCTTGCAAGGCAGGTGCTATGTCGCTGAATTATAACCCCGGCCAACTTCTAGAAATAAAAAGGGTAAGAAAAACTGCAAAGTAATGATATTGAATACCTGATATTCAGGTAATTCATATTCTGTAGTTTTTTCCTCTACAGTTTTATCTTTTATCAGTTGACTAAATTCCACCAAGAAGAATATTGTATTAATAATTAACAATAATTAATAATAAAACAAGGTGTTTCCCACTTAAAGAACACAGTCCATCAACCAGATGTGGTGGTGCGTGCCTGTAATCCCAACACTGTAGGAGGATGAGGCAGGAGGATTGCAAATTGGAGCGCTGCCTGGGCAATTTAGTAACTTATGAGACCCTGTTTCAAAAACTTTAAAAAGGTTGTGGAGGGCTGGGGATTTAGCTCAGCAGCATAAGCGCCTGCCTTGCAAGTGCGCAGTCATGAGTTTGATCTCTGGTACTGATTAAAAAAAAAGGTTGTGGGTATAACTAAATGTGAACGCCCTGGGTTCAATTCTCAGTACCTCCAAAAGAAAAACAAGTTTATAAGTTTATCATATCTGTATGAAGTTTGTAAAAGCATTTACAAACACTTTTATTATGCATTACCTACTACTTCACCCTC